TGCATGCTTCCCCAACCCCATACACTTCACAGCCTGAAAACCTCATCTCAGGCTTCCCGACATTGAGGGTGCATTTCATTTCAGTGGGGAGTGCCTTTGTGTTTGGGCCAGGGCCAGGAGAGCAGGGGTTCTGAGACAATTGGGGCCCCATCCCAGCCAGGCCTCTGCAGCTGGACTGCACATGTCTGATAAAGCTGTCAGGGGTGCAACTTGCATGGGAATCGAGTCTGCCAAGCCTATGTTCCCATTAACCTGTCTCTCAAGGGGTGGGAGGGGGGTGGTAACCAGCATTGGTCAGATTCTCTGCTGCTTTCCTCCTCATGGGCACTCCGCCTATGCTGGCACACCTATCCACACCTCCACAGATCTTCACCCCATCTCAGGAAGCCCCTTGCACTCTTGCCAGACAACTGTGAGAAACCTGCGAGGGGTGGACACCTGCCTCCTCGGGACCTCCACCCATCCTTAAGTCTTGGGTCCACACTTTGGCTAAAGTAGGACAAATGCAGCCTCCCTTTCACCATCTGGAAAACCCTTACTCCCTTCTTTCTTCTTGGCACTGGTCAAATATTGCTCCTCTTTGAGGTTTTTCCTGCTCCCTGTTTCACCTCCAAAGTCCAGGAGCTCTCAGAGCAGTGCAATTATCCATCTATATGTCCTAGACTGGGAGCTCCTGGGTGAAGGGCAGGGATTGGCTTGGGTCTTCCCTGTGGCACAGAAGTCAAACAGCAGAGGTAGGGCTCAGCAGGGTTTGCCAACTACCTGCCTGTCCCTGGTAGCTCAGATGGTAAAGTGTCTGCCCACAATGCAGGAGACCCGGGTTTGATCCCTGGGTCGGGAAGATCCCCTGGAGAAGGAAATGGCAACCCACTCCAGTACTCTTACCTGGCAAATTCCATGGACGAAGGAGCCTGGCAGGCTACAGCCCATGGGTCCCAAAGAGTCGGACACGACTGAGCGACTTCCCTATCTTTCTTTCTGCCTGGTGGGCAGGCCTCTCCAAGGGCAGAGGGCAAGACCACAGTCCCAGTCTGCACTCCTCCCAGGATCAGCCCTATTGGCCCTGGGGCAGACACCTGGCTCTTGCCCACGTCCTCCCATAGCCCCAGGCTCACACCTGACTTCTCAGCAGTGCTTTCTGCTGCTGGCCATGCCCTTTTCCTCAAAACATCCTTTTCTCTGGACTCTTGAGCTCCCTCCCATCTCTCTGGCCATTTCTTAGTCTCTTGTGAGGACTCCTGACCTCCTCTTTCTCTCGTCTTTAAATGGAACCAAGAACTTATTTCTGAGCCCCTTCCTCCCACCCTATAGTAGGACTAATGCCAATGCCTTCTTGTCTGCATAGCCAGAAGCTGCCAATATCTTCTAAGGCCTCAAACTAAACACATCTAAGCCTGAAATCAGTAGTTCTCCCTATAAACCTTTTTGCATTACAGCCACATGTTGCCTCCATTCCAGCCCATTACCCTTCTATTCCACTAACTCACTGCATCCACTGTGCTTAAAAAAAAAATCCCCCATTGAGGTATAATTATGTACAGTAAACTGCACTCACTTAAAGTATACTTTTATAATTCTTGTTTTTCTCCATGTGTTGAGCCTTTCGTTGTCATTATGGAATATTTTTTAACGCCTGATTATACACTCATTTTCAAGTCTCCTTTACCTAGTATTAACACAGTCACTCCAGCTGTTTCATGTTTACCAATTGCTTGGTGTATCTTATTCAGTTCTTTTATTTTCAGTATGTATCTTTATATTTAAAGTTTATTTCTTTAGGCAGCACTGAATTTATTCTTGCTTTCTTTAAAAAAATCCAATCTGACAGTCTCTGCTTTTTGATTGAAATATTTGTTCCTTTGCATTTGCTGTAATTATTGAAATGGTTTTATTTTAGTTTGCTATTTTGCCCTTTGTCTTATATTTGTTTCACCTGGAATTTGTTCCTTAATTCCTCCTTTCCAACTTTCTTTTGTGTTAATCATATATTTTTAAAAAATATTCAATTTTATTTCATTTTATTGGCTTTCCAGCTATCTCTCTTTACACAACTTTTAGTGGTTGTTCTAGAGATTACAATATGTATCTTCATTATATTGATAAGAATTTGAAATGTTTGCATATGAATATCTTTATAAGTCTACTTAGAGTTAATGACTTACTTTAGGTAAAACTTAGAAATGTTGCAATAATATATTTTCATTTATCCACCACCCCCACTGTCCATAATGCTGTTGTTGTCAGTTTTCTGTGTATATGTAATTTTCAAATTGACCCACGTATGTACCAGTTCTAGTTTTCTTCTTTTCCTTTAGCATGAGAAATATCCTTTAACATTTCTTGTCAGGAAGGATTCTTGATGATAAATTATCTCCTTAATTACTTACCTTAAAATGTCTTCTACTTCATTTTTTGGAGAGTAGTTTTGATACATATAGAATTATTGTGATTTGTTTTTCTTTTAGTACTTTGAATGTGTTGTTCTTCTGACTTCCATCATTTCTGATGAGAAATCAGCCGTTAGTTGTATCACTGTTCTCTGTATGCATGGTATCTTTTTTTTTTTTTAATGTCTGATTTCAAGATTTTCTTTTTATTTTTGGCTTTCATCAGTTTGGCCTTTATATGCCTACAGGTGGTTTCTTTGTGTTTTCCTGCCTGGGATTTGCTGAGATTCTTAGCTCTTGAAGTTAGCTTTCACCAAATTTGGGGAGTTTTAGGCTAGTTTGTATTCAGATGCCTTTTAATGCCATTTCATGCCATTTTTGTTCTCTTCTCTCCTGTCCCTGCAATTACACAAATTTTGGACTTCTTGATATTATCCCTCAAGCCTCCAAACTTCTATTCATTTTTCTTCAATTTTTCTTCTTCTTTTAGATTGAGTTCTGTTAGTCTATCTTAAGGGTCAGTAGTTCTATTTTTCCTGCCTCTCCAAACTGTTGTTGAGTTCAGCCAGTGAATTTTTATTTCAATTATTATACTTTCAGTTTTGTAATTCCATTTAGATTTTTTAAAAAATATATGGTTTCCATTACTCTGTTGAGATTCCCTTTCTCTTCAGTCATTAAAACTACTTTTTTCTTTAAATCTTTGAACATATTTTTCTTTTATTGTTTCTATAAAAGCTTCCATGAAATCTGTTTGCTAAATCCATCATCTATGCCCCATTCAGAATCAGTTGCTAGTTTGCCTGTTTTCCTCGCTGAGTATGAATGATACTTTCCTATTTCCTGCAAACCCTGTCTTCCACAGTGTGCAGCAGATGTCTGCTCAGTTCCTACAGCTTCCAGCTGCTGCTAATTTTTTTTTTTTTTTTTTGGTCTGGCTCCCAGGGGTCTCCCTGCACCTCTGTAATTTGGTAATCATCCAAGGATTTGGGCAGTTCACACACAGATTTTGGAGCTGATTTTTCTGTGATTGTTTCTGTGGATTCTCCCCTCAATTTTCAGCTGTTATGCAGTCTTGAGCTCTGTTCTCTGACACCTCAAGCCAGCAAGGTTTTAACTTTTTGCTACTCGAGTTGGGAAATTCACTCAGATTTTTGAAAGTAGCAAATTTACATATCTTCCCAGTCTACTGCAGCTCTGTCTTTCAAGGATAGCTTCCTCTCTGGTCCCTGCTTATTTTTTCACAAGGCCTTCGAGCATTTGGCTAAAGATTTGGACAGACTTTTTACTCAGACTTTAGGGCTTCGGCCTTCTGAAATTCTCTCACTTTCAGAGTTTCCCTGTTAAATGTACACATATTCTGCAGTTCTGCAACCTAAAGGTAATGAGGCTGTGGTTTTCCACCTGTTCTAACCTTGGGAGTTTGAGAACACTATCATGACTCTTACCTCTTCCAATTATAGTTTTTTAAGAGTAAACACTCCTATGGCTTCTGTTTTGAGATACTTCTCAGGGCCTGTAAGTATATTTTTAAAAATATTGTCCAGATTTCATCATTGTTATCTGCAGGAAGGTTCATAGAATTACTTCATACTGCCATCATTACAGAAAGTTTCTCTCACTGCTTTATTTTTAAAACGTGTCCTAGAACATGTCACCCTCCATGCTTATGACCCTTTAAAGATTTTCCACTGCTCTTAAGATAAAGTACAGAATTCCTAATAAGTCCTATGATACCATGCAAAAAGTAATGTATAGACTCTTTTAAGGTTAAAAATTCCTTTAGCTTCCCTAAGGTTGAAACTCTGTTTTCATTTATAATGTTGCCTAAGCGAGTCTGTGTCAGTATAGGATTTTCCCCCTACACCCTTTGGAGGGTGAGTAGAAGAAATGGAAGGGTTCCATGGAAATGGTAGGGAGGGATTGGGTCTTGAAGAAATGGCTGGCTACAGTGGGCACTCAAGAGTCTAGAACAGAGGTCAATGTTGGGGGCAGGTGACTGCAGCCCCTCGGTCTCTGGGATGGGCATGTATATATAGTCCAACTCGAAGTGAAGCATGTTTTGTAGGAGGGTAGGTGGTTTTGAACAACCACAAGGAAGAATTGTTCAGTATAGACAGTGCCTTTCCATTTTTACTCTCAAAACACTTTACAAACAAAAAATTAAAAAGAAGCTAATGTTTATAGCTCTCCTGCAACTCAAAAAGGAGTTTAACTCAAGAGGTTCAAGAGGGAGGGGATACATGTATACTTATAGCTGATTCACATTGTCGTGCATTGGAAACTAACACAACACAGCACTGTAAAGCAATTAGCCTCCAATTTAAAAAATTCTTATTAGCATTATTAACTTAAAGTAGTCTGTCTAGTCAAAGCTATGGTTTTTTGCAGTAGTCATGTATGGATGTGAAAGCTGGATCATAAACAAATCTAAGTGCCGAAGAATTGATGCTTTGGAACTCTGGTGTTGGAGAAGACTCTTGGGAGTCCCTTGGATTACAAGGAGTTCAAACCAGTCGATCCTAAAGGAAATCCATCCTGAATATTCATTGGAAGGACTGATGCTGAAGCTGAAGCTCAAGTACTTTTGTCCACCTGACGCGAAGAACTGACTCACTGGAAAAGACCCTGATGCTGGGAAGTATTGAAGGTGGGAGGAGAAGGGGACAACAAAGGATGAGATGGTTGGATGGCATCACCAACTTGATGGACATGAGTTTGAGTAAGCTCCGGGAGTTGGTGATGGACAGGGAATCCTGGCGTGCTGTGGTCCATGGGCTTGCAAAGAGTCGGACATGACTGAGCAACTGAACTGAACTGAACTGAAGCTAAAATAGTGATCAATGTTTTGCTAAGACTAAACCTCCTCCATCCCATGACTGTGGCCCTATCTGCCAGGTTGCAAATTCTACAGCCTTTCATATACCCACACATCAGGTACGACTCATTTCACCCACCATTTCTCTTGGGATTTCTGGGGTTCCTTCATTTGGGCCACAGGCCCTGATAGCACTTGAACTTCTCTCAGTGGGAAGGCTTTCTCATTTGTCCATTTTTCCTCCTTTGTCCCTGCTCCATGGCAGCGAGAGCAGTGTCGCGTTCAGCTAGGTTGTTTTCATTCAATGGGGCACACCTGGATCCCAGCTCTTGCACCAGGGCTTGGATTCATCAGCACGTGGGGGCGGGAGTTGCACACTGAGCCTCAGATGAGGGTGTCTGCGCCTCACGTCACCTCTGAGGACCCACTTTGAGTTCAGCCTCCGTCGGGCCTCTCCCTCTGAGGTTTGGTTTTCTTCCTGGGCTGCCTTTACCTGTGTGAGGTCACAGGCAGCCTCCTGGGGTGCTGAGAGGCTATGATGGAGGTTGGCCTCCCAGGCAGAGAAAAAACAGCACACATTTTTAGGTGTCATTTAAATTACCATTTTCAATTAGTATTAATAAACTGAGATTTTGTACTAATACATTTAGCTTTATTTCTCTGTGTGTGTGAGAGAGGGCGAGAGTGTCTTGGAATATATCATGTAGCCTAGATATCAGCATTTGCCTAGGCTTTGTTTATTCAGTTTAGGGTATGGAGGGACCCTTTTATGACAAAGTGTGTGTCGTGTTTACCTCAAGCTGTACCTTTGAAGTTAGATTTGTATTTTCTGTTTATCTGTACATTTTCAGGGAATTCTTGCTTTTTATGTTGTTATTTTCCGTCTCCACTTTGAAGACGATTTGGAATATCCTCTTGTGAGTATTATTTGCTGACAAACAGGGATATCTGAGTACTGGGTTTGTCTCATTCACCTTGATGGCCTTGATTTAATTCACCTGAATCAAATCATCGTCTATGTGCCCTCCTGCAGGTGGTCCTTGGCAAGTCTTTGTAGACTCATGCAAAATAGGCTGGATGCTAGCCCAGAGTGGGGTTATACGCATGTGCCGTGAGAGTAGGAGAGCGAGGTGATTCGGAGACATAATGCACACAGCAGAGCTCCGGGCCTGGCCTCGGCGTCTTACAAACGTGGAAGGTAAGGTTCTTCCTGGCATTAGATGGTGTAATAGAGGTCCATTGCTGTAACCTGACACTGATCCTTCACCCCTCAGTGGGGGAGGGGGGTGCAGAAACTGGGACAGCAGAGAGAACACATCCTGAGTTCCAGAGGAATGGCTTGTTGTAAAAAACTCCTTTATTTGTGTTCTTGTCCTCATTCACTCAGTTTGAGTATGGGCAGAGGTGGATAGCCTGAGTTAGGGCCTCCTTAATGTACCCAACACAAGTACAAGAGGAATCTGTGGGTTCCATGTGCAAATAGGAAGAAACACCTTGGGGTGATTGTCCCTGGTAGCCACTCTTGATGGTTGCCAGTCATCAGACATTGGCTGTCACAGTGTCATAGATGCTGTCTGTGACAGTGGGAATTGCCCCCCCTACCCCCACTTTGCACTTCCCACCCTATGGAGCTAAAGCTTCTTTTGAAATGGCAGCTCAGATGATGCTGTGACGTATTGGTGCAGTGCTTCCTTTTCAGAACTCGTGCCTAAAATGTTACTTAATCTTAACCCTCCAAAAATCACTCAAAGCCTAAAATTCTACACTCCAAAACACTTTCTTTTTTCTGTGTTGATTTTTAAATTTATTTTAAAGATGATATTGCATCTGAACAGCATGGTTTTTGCCCAAAAGTCAAGAAATCTAGCCCTCACCCATGTGTAAGTGTGTTTTAGGAATATCCACAGAGAATCTGAACTCTGCCATGTGTTGGAAGAGAAACACATTTTAAGAACATTTATATTCTAAAAGTTATTTTGTGTGTGAACACTGTGCTATTTTTTTGTTTGTTTTTTTAATGACCAAGTGTTTCTATATTTTTATTTAGTTTTTTTGTGTGTGTGACCCCATGGACTGTAGCCCAACAGGCTCCTCTGTCCATGGGATTTCCCAGGCAAAAATACTGGAGTGGGTTGCCATTTCCTTCTCCATTTATTTAGTTTTTAACTTACGTGAGGAATGGTTTATTAATGTGGTGAGCCACCCAAATAAGGGGAATGCCATTGGAGTTGAGGGTGAAGAGGCGTGAAGTGTTAAATCAGGTTAAGAGTGTTTGAAATATTGATCCAGGGCTCTTTTTTGAGGGAGCAGATAAGAGTGTATATATCTTAAGACCTCCAGAGAAGAAATACGTTTATTACACAAAATGTGTGTATTTTATCTAAGGCTATCTGTAAGGCACATAGTGGCTCAAATTCAATCCTTGCAAGCGTAGATCATAGATATGCAGTCATCTTAAGGTCATAATTGCGTTGTGGCTGTAAAGGAAGCGGGGAAGAACTGTCCTTAGACCACTCCTGTGCATTAGTTCTGGACTAACTTTAAATTCAGTCTTCATATGTATTTTTTTTTTAAGAACTTATTTTGGCTGTGCTGGGCCTTTGTTGCTGCACAGGCTTTTTTCTAGTTGCGGTGCCTGGGTTTGCCATTGCAGTGGCTTCTCTTGTTGTGGAGCACAGGTTCAGAAGTTGTGGGCACGGGCTTGTTGCTCCGCCGCATGTGGGATCTTTCTGGACCGGGGATTGAACCTGTGTGTCTTACATTGGCAGGCAGATTCTTTATCACTGAGCCACCAGGAAAGCCCATTAGTTTTTTTTTTTTTTAAGCTTCATTTCAAAGGTTGTTAAAGCTCTGTAAGTAACTCTTTCTAAATTTCTCTTGATCTCAATATTTATATTGAGTTTAGACCTTGGAACCAATCAGTGTGCTAAAGCAATTACTGTCATTTTATTATGGTTACTCCAGTTTATGGATTTCTCCCATAAATATACAGTGTTGTTCTGTAATCCAACATAAAACTGCACTTGTAGTTAATAGTGAGTCTTCTCAGCATGGTGAACACGAGCTTGTAGAGAATCGGCGTGTTTGAGTAGCTTTGCCTAGTTCTTATATCAAGGCAGTTTTTCAGGTGAGAAAACAATCTCCAGGTGTTGTTAAAAGCTGCACAGAAGGTGCTGTCAGATCCCCTGACTGCAGGTCCTCAGCCCTCCCCACCAGGCCTGCTCATCCAGGTGGAGAATTTCAGACAACAGGCGTGGAAAGTATCTATCTCAGCTGTATCTGCCTTTTATTGAGTGACACAGAGGCTGTAAACCATGTCCATCAAGCCTGGCCATAAAAAGGTATGTGTAGACCAGTCGGACTCATGAGGCAAACTCTCCAGGACAGAAGGGCTAAAAGGTTCTTTTATTTAAAGAACAAAAATCCCTTCCTCACCAATTGGGCATGACTTTCAATGTTCTTCCATCTAACTGAAATTTTTCTATCCAGTGCCTTGGCAGAAAGATGCAAAATCAATTTTGGGAAATTCTGAGTGGAGGTGCTTTGACTTCCTGAGAGGTGGGCTGGGAGAGGGGGACCGGTCCCTTGGCTCTACCTGTGCTCCTGAGGAAGAGGGCGTGGGCACCCCTCCTGTCAGCTGTGGGGGGTTACAGGTGGGTTGCGTGAACTCTGTTTCAGCCCCGAGGTGGGAGAGGCAGTGTTCACTGGGCAGAGTGGTTTGGAATAGGGCTGCCTATGAACACGGGGCCTCCTCCCCTCTCTTGTCCTTGGAGGCTGGTCTCCAACACAGCCCCTTCCAAGGACCAGGGCGTGGATATAGCCAAGAATTAAACCATAAACCAAACCAAAGGTCAAATACTAGCTACAGTGAAATCCATAAGACTGCCTTGACATCTCTCTTATCTTTGGTGCCCAGATATTGGCTTGCAGTGAGAGAGCAGACTGGGGCATTGGTAAGCCCAGGTGTGGTGTGCCCAATGTCTGAGCTTGGCAGGTTAATTTTGGAGGCCTTGGTTTCTTGCTGTTGAATGACCCCTGGACCTCATCTTTACAAGAGGCAGAAGCCTTGATATATTTTAAACTTGTGGGAAGACCTCTTAGCAAGCTCTTGGCATAAGGCTGTGTTTTTGGCGCTGACAGTAAGTGGAACCAGGAGTGATAGCCTTTTGAAGTTGAAGGTACCTTTGAGAACATCCATTCTGACCACCTCAGTTGGCCCGATCCTTCCTATGCTTATTTGTAAAATGGAAATGAGTATGTGCCTCATAGAATTGTCATGAGAATTACATGAGGTAATTTCTGTAAAGCACTTGGAATTGTGCCTGGCACTGAGTAAGCCCTTGATAACATTCACCACCATTATTGTTGTTGCTCTTCATGGATGAGAAGGCTGGGATCCAGAGAGGTGAAATACCTTGCCTGAGGTCATACAGATGCGCAGCACCCCACCCTACCCCCCCACCAAAAAAAAAAAGCAGAACTGGAGTCCAAGTCCACTACACTTTGCTGGAGGCAGCTGTTTTTCTGACATCTTTGGTCTAGTTGCAACTGAGAGCTCAGATTCATGTGCCCCTAAGAGATCACAGCATGTGGAATAGCTTTGGTTTTGTTATGACTACACAAGTCCTCTCAATGTCACTGCCTTTCTGCTTGATGCCCTGTTTGAGTTAAAAGTTCAGTGAAGATCCATGTGTGTGTGTATGTGTGTGTGTGGTGGCCCTTCCTGCATAATTTAGTGGTCTCCTTTGCATTAGTGTATTAGCATGTTTTCACTTTTAACCTTTCACCCTCTGAGCCTGGCATTTAAAATGCTATTAAACTCAATAATGTTTCCTATAAACAACCTTAGAGGGATGGGAAATAATTGGAATGACATTTTTAATAGGCTTCTGTTTCTCAGCCCTCTGGACTGCATGAACCCAGCCAGTGCTGGCAGAGGGGGCCTGGTCTGAGGTTGGGAGAGCTTGGACATCCTCTGGGGACCGTTTAAAGAACAGAGAATGGTTTCTGTGCTGAAAAAGTAGAGGGTTTTGAGGGGGACAGTCTTTTTATTTTCTTAATGAATGAGGTGAATCCAAGAGCTGATCACTCCTTCCTCCTTCCAATGGTTTCAAAACACCTTAGGGCCAAATTTCTGGGCACCTTTAGCCAATGAGTCAGACTTTCTGGAATGTGGTTTTGTGCATTCTCTTGTTTTCAATATGTATTTTTTGGTCCTCCTGTTTCTATTTTATGTCATAATTCTATTTTATGTGCCATAATATATGTCTCCTAAATTTGTTTTTGGAGCACATTTAAAAAAAATCTAGTTGGATATTGTCTTTTCTGCTTATAAATTTGTGAGACCTTGCTGGGGAGGAGACCTTTCTGTGCCCCAAGTTTAGCTCCTTTGTTAATAAAATGGAAATGGACATTATCTTGCCCAGACATGTTATGTGGGAGCAAGCACGACTGCTTACAAAGAATCATGTATGACTTGGAATGTTTTTTGCTGCTATGATCGGGGCGGGGGGAAGGGATTGAAAAATACTGGAATCTTGAATTTTTTGCCTTAATCAGAGTTCCAGATCCTATTCTCACAGAATCATGTTCAGAAAGTACATGTTAGTCATTCACCTATGGTGAATAAATATTATAGCTGCTTTCAGTATTAGCTCATTAAATAGTATTTGAGAGTCCTACTATGTGCCCAGCACTGGGACAGACCTGGGCGGGGGCGGGGGGCGTGCAGAGGAGAATAAATGACTGCAGATGAGAAGTTGGAGCTCAGGTGACAGCACCGTATGACTCCCCTATAATCATGCATGCATTTAACAAGCATGGCTGTGTCTAGGCGCTGTTTCAGGCAGTGGATTGAAGATAATCAAGATGAGTGAAATCCCCACTTTGCTAGAACTCATATTTCAGTGAAGGGAGAGTTTAAAAACAAGGAAAGAGAAACCCCATAAAGCTGTCTGCTTACCAAGTGTAAATTTTTGGGTGTGTAAATTGTATCTCAAAAGGGTAAAGAAGGAAAAAACCTCAGCCTTCACTGGCCTTCGGATTCACCTTAGGACGGTTGACCCTTGCTCTTCACTGGTGTATGCAATGCTGCCGCTTGCTGACCTGTATCCGTGAGCCCAGAAACCAATCTCCTGGAGATTTTGTGGTCATTTGTCGGTGTGCACAGGGCAATGAGACATGTCACTCACCTGGCGAGCATGTCCTCTGAAGGGGAACCAGGTGACACTCTGCCTTCCTGGTCAGCTCCTGCTGTGGGCAAGTAGCCTTTTTGTTGTCTTTTTAGTGCAGTGGCCTTGTATCTTTGTGCTTTTTTGTTGGTGACTTCGCTGCTTACAATGGCTCTCATGAATGATGCTGGGGTGCTGTCTTGGGATCC